CTTTGAACAATTCCATAAACTGTGGTATAACCATTTCCATACTAAAATTGCAAATTCTCGTTACTTTTTTCAAACCACCGAAAAGAGTTTATTACAACAACAACAACTTCGAACACTCTAACGATAGGATAATTGAGTGTTCAGTGTGAATGATTGTGGATGCAAGCTGCAAAAGTGATAACTCACTGATTATCGCCCAAATCTTGCTTTGCCTCCACTATTGCTTCATCAGTTTCGAGTCCTTTTGACTCTTGAAAATATTTCATCGGCTTATTTGTGTCCAATTCGAACGATCTGAATTGCTTCTTATCCTCGTCGAACGTATAATGCACCTTTTGGAATTCGAACCATAATTTCAATCGACCATCAAATAACTGAAATCAGACACTGCCACTGATCACAACTGTGATTCAACAATCCACTCGGTTTCAATATCAAATCTTCAACTTTAACGTCTATGATACATGGCACTATATGAACCAAACCGTAAGACGACACAATCGGAATGTTACGAGAAGTGAACATCAATCATTATGAGCGTACTTTAATTAAAGCGATGCCAAAAGTTATCATTATGTAACAGATGGACTAGACCCGAAGCGAGAAAAGAAACCTTAGTTCGTTGTAATGGTACCATTTCAGTCCATCCGTTGTTGGGTGTTGGTGTAACTTTTACAGTTGTTGCCTTGTGTACATCGGGTTCCTTAAAGTAGCACGACTATATCACCGATATTAATATGAAACGTTCTAACAATAAGTTTGAAACACAAAAGTATTCTTCTCATCAACAGTGACAGTCTCATGAAGAAAACATCATTTTCAGTAAATTTAATGAAGCGATTTTTTAGATTCTCAAAATTCACAAGCAAAAAGTACGAAAACGATTAGTATCACTTACATGAGAACACGTAAAGAGACAATTCATCGACACAAACCAATGACAAAAAAGAACGGTTAACACCTGAAAAAAAAAATCTGTTAAACATTGAAAACTCAAAGGAAATAGCCAAACGTATCATATTTTGCATTAAGAGATATTAACCAAAATATTCTGCATGAAAGAATCAGTATAGACCAAGAAGATTGAAAGTGTGCTCTGAGATAAACGTTAAGTGCCTTGTTGATGAACACGCATGCTTTTTCGGAAAACCGCCACAATGTTAAAACATTTTCTGCATGATTTAAAGAATTCTTATATCTTCGAACACTGATTGTGAGAGCGATACAGCATTCGGAAGTCGATTATATGATGCATGTACCAAGATCAACCAATGAATTGCCCATGAATTATCACAAAACTGCATAAAAACTAACCTGCAATAAACCA